ATTGCTATAGCAAACATACGTTTGCTTCATCGGCACTCCCACCAATAGAATATATGGCAAGATGTCTGGCATTCCTTGAAACATTTTTCTGTTTGGCGTTGGGTAATTTCTGCGTCGCGCAGACTCTCCATACTTCTCTAATGTATTTTTTTGCTAAATTTAGCATTCCATTTCACAAAGTTGTATGAATATTTCTTGGCGCGGGATCCAGCTTGGGTATGTGATTGTAAAATTATCGAGCCCTCTTATACTCAATGAAATAATGGCAAACTTCACGCTTTTTCACATGCTTACTGGCCTTGTAACTCAGTAGTTCTGTCGTTTTACGCATCTTCTTGCCTAGTCGGCAATTTCGCCGGCTTCTGCATCGGTCGCACAGTCGTTCTCAGCCGCTGGCCGCCCCTTCCGGCGCGAACTCCGACTGGCGGCCGGTCGCCTCCACCTCGTCGTCGTGCCCCCGTGCGCCGTCGCACTCTCCGGCCGTCCATTGCACCCGTCCACCGGCCTCGAGCACACTCTCAGGCACCGGCTGTACCGCCGACGCTCCAATCGTCTGTCAGGTCTGCGCTTGCCCTTCCGGCGTCACCGTCTCGCGACAGCCGCCCTGTTTGCCCATCTCGAGTTCGGCCACCTTCACGTCCACGCACGAGAAGCCCATCGCGTCCGCCGCATCTGCAGTTACCCATCGCAATTTGACAAGGTCTTCTTTGGCTCTGCCGGTTTCTAGGGCTTCAATCTCCTCTTCCTCAAGAGCTTCGGACAGCTACCATCCCTTTTCATCAGCCTCTTCCTCCTCCTCCTCCTCATCTTCATCCTCATCCTCCTCTTTCTCCTCCTCATTTGCCTCGTCGTTGGCCCGTTCGATTTCCAGCTCCTTCTTGTCTCTGCATCCCGTCTCATGCAGAAAATGCGCCAGATACAACGCCAACCCAGCCAAACTCAGCGCTCCAGGCAACACTACCTCCACCTCGAGCTCCTTATCGGCCTCCTCGTTGTCTCTCTCCTGCATCGGGTTGCCACACGACTCGACCCCGGGCCTCCTTTCCCGGCCCGGCTCCACTACTCGGCCGGCCCAGCGAACGGGCCCCGGTCGGGCCAACACAGGAACTCCCGGTGAAGTGGGTCTGGCCAACCGGTCGTCAAGACAACACTCGGTCAGCCCCGGCGAGGAGGCGGCGTTGAAACGTAGGCGGTCAGTGGGTGGACGGAAAGTCGACAGTCGAGGCCGAGTTCGTAGATCCAGCCTGAAGGGAGGGTACACGCAGAAGGTCTCCAATTGCCGCGAGTCGAGGGGTGGGAATGAGGAGTGCCGGTCGGCCGATTCGTCGGAGGCGAGTTCGGTGGCCTCGGTCGTGTTCACTGGAAACCAGTCGATTCAGGCAAGTCAAATACGTGTTGATAAGACATAGACGAGGTGGAAACCGCAGTGCACTCCTGTTCGGGAAGCAGGGCTGTGTAAAATTTGATGGAAACGTGGGATCCCTCATAGGATTGTGGGAAAATTCAACTACTAGCCCCTCACTACAAT